GCGTCTTCTTGTTGTCGCGCGCCGCGTTGCCCGCCAGCTCCAGGATCTCGGCGGTCAGGTACTCAAGCACGGCCGCCAGATACACGGGCGCGCCGGCCCCGACCCGCTCCGCATAGTTGCCCTTGCGGAGCAGGCGGTGCACGCGACCCACCGGAAACTGCAGACCGGCCCGCGACGAGCGCGTCTTGGCTTTGGCGCGCGCCTTGCCGCCCTGCTTCCCGCGTCCAGACATAGTCAGCAAAAAACGGCGCACCAAAAAGCAAAAACGAGCGGCTCAGTGGGCAAGAAGCTAGACTATTATAGTCTGCGGCGGTTTGGTAAAGCAGCCTATGCCGTGGGCCCAACACAACTCCAGCCAATCAAAAGGCCCATCCAAATCAACCATCCTCCTAATTTACATAGGGCGTTTACGGTTGCAAGGTCAATTTACTTAAAGTTGGATATATGGAGGAAGAGCCAATGAGAGTTTAGGATAATCAAGGAGCCTATCAGGATTTAGGATATTTCAAAAACCAATCAGAAAGCTCAATTCTGCAATCCCTAATTTGCATGCACACCAAATAAATAGGAGGGCGCTGGGCCGTGGGCGTGCATCTTTCGTTTTGTGGTAGAAGCGCTTTATCAGTACTATGCCTGAACCCGCCAAGTCGGCTCCGGCCCCGAAGAAGGGCTCCAAGAAGGCGGTGACCAAGGCGCAGAAGAAGGACGGCAAGAAGCGCAAACGCAGCCGCAAGGAGAGCTACTCGGTGTACGTGTACAAGGTGCTGAAGCAGGTGCATCCCGACACGGGCATCTCGTCCAAGGCCATGGGCATCATGAACTCGTTCGTCAACGACATCTTCGAGCGCATCGCGGGCGAGGCGTCCCGCCTGGCGCACTACAACAAGCGCTCGACCATCACGTCCAGGGAGATCCAGACGGCCGTGCGCTTGCTGCTGCCCGGGGAGCTGGCCAAGCACGCCGTGTCCGAGGGCACCAAGGCCGTCACCAAGTATACCAGCTCCAAGTAAACTTGTCATCTTCAGTAGCACCAGCGTCATCAGGCTCTTTTAAGAGCCACCCACGTTGTCACTTAAAGAGCTGTAACTTTACAAGCTTGGTGAAAATAGGAGAACAAACAATATTTAATTTTGGCCGCTAATAACTATTTGGGAACACAAGTTTACGGCATGAGATAATCACCAAGAAATAAATCTGTGAGTAACCAAGAGTACCATGCATTCTGCTTCGCTACTCCATAGCTACTAAAAGCAATACACCTACGATGCTCCCACCTCGAGAGAGGGCTTTTCCGTTTTCAGTTTTCGTTCTCCCATTACTTTAGATCGGTAGTAAGTAGGGGAAAACCGTTCTCCTGGTTTTGAGTCGCGCTAAATCAAAACAAGAGAGTAAGCATTCTTGAGAAAACGAAACTACCCCCCCCCCCCCCCGTTAACTTTCTGTGAGCTTGCGAGTGGCTACAGCGGCATCTAATGGAGCAGGGTACTGTCTGCAACTTGCATTTCTAAACCACAGTGGGTGTCTGCCAGTCTCTCAAACCCGCGTCCTTCCATTTCCACTAAGTTCTTCACCGCACATTTTAACGTAGCTAAATACTGCCTCTTGGCAAGGTCAGAAATTTTTCCACTAGTTTTCTACCCGGCTGAATACACAGGGGTTTAAGAGACACTCCCTACAACTGGAAAACATTAAGGGGCAGGAAGCAAGTGAAAGTCTCCCATCTGTGGTTTGGCGCGCGGGGGTGGGGGGTGAGGGGGGTGGGGTGGTGGGGGTTGCGGGGGAGGCATTAAAAGAGAGGGATCTGCCTCAATTTCTCAGCCTCTTCACTCCTCAGCCCCATGGAGTCCCAGAGTTCTTCCTAAACCTCTCCGTGTCCCCAATGATCTTGTTCTCAGTCACATCCTCATTCCCTGGGATTTTAAGGGAGAAGAGTTAAAAAGGAATTACCATTCGTGTGCTTGTCCTTTGCCTGATTTCAGCCCGCAGTCATACAAAATGGAATCTCCCATTTTACAAGGGAATGACCTGAGGAATTAAGGTTAAGTAGCCCCTTACATAAATAAGTAAAAATGGGATCTGAATCCCCATCTAAGGACTGTTGACTTTTTCTCAAACTAGAGACCGGTTGCAATCATAGGAATGGGGTAACAGGATCAGAGGGAAAACTGACCATTAGAATAAAAGAAAAGTAAAACTCACCAGGAGATAACACTTGTGCTTTGATGCATAGCACAGTTTAAACCAGCCAAAGTATAAAACAAGATATGGAAACTAAGGATCACTGAGCAGCAACTTTGGCTTTTCTGAGCACTGTGCTGTAGGGGGGAAAAACCATGAGCAGTGGCAATGTATAACAGCTCAGAAATCTGCTTCTCCTTATTAGCTACATGTCTTTATCTACAAATCTCTACAAAGTAGATCTCTATGAACATTAATATAAGTGATATGGGAAAAGAAAAGCAAGGCAAAAGAAAAAATTAAATTTCCTTACTTCCTACAGCCTATTGACAAGTCCTTGAAGCAGGTAGAGTGACCTTCCTCTGGGAGCTCAGCTGCCTCCACGTTAATACCTTGCCAGAGGCAATCTTAGCTTAACATTATGGCAATGCCCCAGAATCCTGTAAGTCTACTTCAATACATAAAAATTCCCTTGGAAACTTTTTTCTCTACCCCCACCAAGATATCTGTTAGCGATCATTCTCCAAACATATGATCCACTGATAATACATCTGAAGAGTCTCATGAATGAGTTTTTACTAAGTAGTAATAAATGACTTTTTCCTAACAATAGCAAGCTCCCTCAAGGTCCTGAAAACCGTCTTTCCAAAATATCTTGAAAGCTTGTGCTGTCCCTTACCCCCTCCCAACTTGAAAGCATATAATGGGCCAAGCCTCACGGCCCCACTGCAGCTCTTTGAGCCCAGGGGTCCTGTCCCCGTGCTTTAATAAAACCACCTTTTTGCACCAAAGACGTCTCAAGAATTCTTTCTTGGACATCAACTCTGAACCCCGACCGTTTCCTACGTAAGTGACTCGGGTTTGTAATGGGGTTTGTGAAGAAGATTCTCTAAGCCCCACAGGTAATTAAGGCATCCATTTCAGGCTCTCCAAAGCTAATTTTAAGTGCATTTGAAAACAGTTCATGAAAAGATATATACAAGCGTGTCTTAAGGAAGAATCCCTTAGGACATGATACATTCCTGATGGCCTGTTTCAATGCTAAATTTGGGCCAGTTTCTTAAACCTTCCCGAGCATTTCCTTACCTCTAAAATGGGAATAATGAACAGTAACTACCATGAAATTGCAGAATGATCAGTAAAAAAACATAGTAAAGCATTTAGGACAGTACTTACTCAGAGGAAAGTCTCCCAAAATATTAACTGTAGCTAAAGCCTCTGGTTGAAGTGTGCCCAGGTCCCACGGGAAGGTGCCCGTGGTCCTGCCCATATTAGAATCTGAGTCTTGAGGCTTTGAACAAGGCAGTAGGCCACAAAAACTACCAGCAAGTGACACTAATTAGATTTCCTTGTCTGGAAGGATGAGCGATCTATATCCCCCTACTAAGAGTCTAAACCACTCCTTAGAATATCTCTGGACCCTGTGAACTCTTTAGAGGACAACCTGGGCTGTGAGACTTCCAGGCCTCTGCCTGCCAATTCAAGCAACATGTGTCTCATTTTCCAGGGATTTCCTCATGTCTTACTAGTACTAAGGGTACCTCATTGAACAGGATGTTGAGTTATAAGGAAGGGACCCTGGAAATTCACACAAGAGCTAAGTAGGAACTTTTTATTCCTGTTTTGTTCTCATGCCTCCAGTTTTCTTTGCCTAATTTCACTGTAGCGTCTGGCCAGTCTGAAGAATCATCTTCAGAAAAGGAGTTGCACTTTTAAAGCAAGAAGAGAATCGTGAAATTGCCGTCCATAACCTTTCCCAGACTAGGGAATTCTAGGGCCACGCTTAAGATTGCTGCTGTGTTGCCAACAACTTAGAAGACTGCTATCAATCTCACTTCATAAAAGAACTATCCTAATTACACTCAAAGGAAAATCAGATAACCTCGAAATAAGAAATCTTTATACCAAATAAATGACGCATAGTCAAACATTACGAGCAACACATGAACCTTTATCATAGTAAATCACTGGGATTTGGGGATTGTTCATCACAGCATAATTAGCCTAGGTGGATCAAGACAGTATTACACTGCATCTAGTTTCTGGGAATTGCTTTTATCAGGGAACAATGAGTTGCCATATTGTTACATGTGGCTAAAACTCATTTGTTTTAGGAGCAATGTTAGATTGTGTGATTATGCCTGATTACATCATAATTCATCTATTGATTGATATCTGCTTGGTTGTTTGCCTTAAAAAAAAATGTACAGGAGGACACCTGGGTAGCACAGGTAGTTAAGGGCCTGCCTTTGGCTCCAAGGGCCTGCCTTCAACGCAGGTCATGATCTCAGTGTCCTGGGATGGAGCCCCATGTCCTACTTCCTCTAAGCAGGGTCCTGCTTCTTCCTCTCCATCTGCCTGCCACTCCCCCTGCTTGTTCTCTCTGTCAAATATAAATAAAATCTTTAAAAAAAGAAAATGTAAAGGATGCTTTGCTGGAAAATATTAAGTAGAAATTTCATTGTGTGGATTATTTCATAATATTCTATTAATAACATGTATGTGTGGATTACTTATGATAATAGACTATAAGGCTTAAAACCAGGAAGTGAGAAGTAGATATAATTATAGGGAACATTGTCAGGAAATCTGCTTTAACCCTGTCCCTCCTCCCCAATTAGCTGAGCTGATTCAGAGACACTTTTTTGAATGTTGAAATGAAGGACTCAAACAAATCATTGGTTTCCAAATGCTCATCTATGGTTAGTATCATCAGTCTGTCCCAGTTTTCTCTATTCTCTATTTTCCCTACTCTTTGTAAAAGTGAAAGTAAGGTCGGTGCAGTAAATTTTAATTTAAAAATTATATAAAGGTTTAAAAAAAGTTATATTAAAGGTTAATTTACATGTTTTTAATCCTATAATTCCTCACCGATGTATTGTCTTCTAAAAGGTACAAAAACTGCCTGCCTCAGTCGTTTGGTGTCTCAATTTTATTATTGGGCCTCTGCACGCAGGTAATAAAACTGCATTTTTTTCTCCTGTTCATACGTCTCGTGTAAATTTTAATCCAGCTAGAAGACCTTCAAGGAAGAGGGCTATTTCCTTCCCTACACTTAGTAATTTGGGGTGAAGAATCCCGATGCCTGTATGTACAGGTTTTAAAAAGTCCCACTCATTACGTAACAACCTTATCTACGTGAGGTTTTCAAACTCAGAAAATTTCGGAGGCTATGCTAAACACTAGCTGTCTCCCCGCGAGTGTATCACCACCCCACCCCACCCCCAGGAGTGCCTCCGGGACCTCCGAGCCCGCGGGAAAAGCGCGGCCAACCCGAGACCGGGGCGGAGCCGGCCGTTCTGCGGGAACTCTTCTTTGTTCCCCCGCCGCCCGGCGCCGCTGGCCTGCTCCCTTTGTCCCTCGCCCGCCCCGCCATCTTGGGCACGGAAGCCCGGCGGGGAAGGCCGGCCCGCAGCCTGCCCGCCCGGTATCCCCACTTCCTAGACATCAAGATCCGAGCGTGCACTTCTATCCCCGAGGTACTCGAGAACAGAGGCGACCCCGTGGGAAAGCAGACAATGCCACGTGAGATCTCTGCCGCCACAAACACGCTCTGGGGGCGGCTTAAACAGACCCGACTGCCGCGAAACAAAGACAGTACAATGAAGTGAACTCCCGAGTTCGAAAGCAATCGGGTAAGTCAACACACCAAGCAACAACCGTAATCTCTATAACTCTCGGTAAGTTTTAAAGGATCAAACACCAAGGCTTAAAACGGAATAAGGAAGGTTGCAGCTCTCTCAAGACACATGTGGGCGGCCCTGAAAAGGGCCTTTTGGATGAGAAGCATGGCGGGTGAGATCGGTTTTAGCCCCCGAAGCCGTAGAGGGTGCGGCCCTGGCGCTTGAGCGCGTAGACCACGTCCATGGCCGTGACCGTCTTGCGCTTGGCGTGCTCCGTGTAGGTGACGGCGTCGCGGATCACGTTCTCCAGGAACACCTTGAGCACCCCGCGGGTCTCCTCGTAGATGAGGCCGGAGATGCGCTTGACGCCGCCGCGCCGGGCCAGCCGCCGGATGGCGGGCTTGGTGATGCCCTGGATGTTGTCGCGCAGCACCTTGCGGTGGCGCTTGGCGCCCCCCTTGCCCAGGCCCTTTCCGCCTTTACCACGACCAGACATGACTACAACGCTGAAAGAACTCTCGAAAAATGCTTAGCAATAGTGAGGGCAATCGCCTTATATGTGCGGATTGCGGACCTAATTGAAGACTGAAAGCGCGCGCGCGGGAACGGCCATTGCCCGGCCCCGCCCCCCGCGGCGAGCTCGGTGACGTCACGGAGGCTGGGCGCGGGCGGACAGCCTCCGCCTCCCCCTCCCCCTCGGCCACCGTGCCCTCTGCAGGGACAGCTACAGCGCCCTGAGTCCCCGCCTGGGGATTTCGGACCCCTGAACCGCGTCAGACTAAAGAAAGGAGCGTTAGGCACTGACTGTCTTGCCGCATGGCGTGCCTTGTGCGATCTCGCAGGCGTCTGCGTGGGCCTGGGCGCCCCCGGCCTTCCTGCGCCCGAGGACCGGCCCTTCCTTCAGCCGGCCTCGGCGCCGGGCTCACGCGTCCAGACGGCACCTCCGTCATCAAGCCCGGAGAGTGTTCTTCCCAAAGGCGAACGCGCGCCTGGTCAGGGTCCCCGAAGCGGAATGTTCGCCCGCCGCGCGGAAGCCCGCCTTCCTTCCCTGTTGATTAAAGCTTGTCATTCTCTCTTGTGTATCCTGCCACCTCTCTTCTGCGTCCGAAATCGTAACAGGGTGCTCATGTTGCCTTCTCTGCGCCTTTGTTCTTTCTTTGATTCTGGTAGCGATATTACTTCTAAGAGAACTGGCAGCTCGTGGGAGCCGAAGGGTTGAAGCAAACAGAAGACCGTGCGTGGGTTCTTCGAATAGGAGGAATAACCTCAGAACACAGTTAAGAGTATTACTAGGAAAGCAGCGTTCCGAGGAGCAGAGTGGCGCAGCGGAAGCGTGCTGGGCCCATAACCCAGAGGTCGATGGATCGAAACCATCCTCTGCTAGCTCGGTTTTTGCTACTACACCATCTTAGTTGAAGTTCTATAGCTTAGTGTCACGACACGGAAAGAAAACAGAGCTAGAATTTGTTTTGTTTTGTTTTGTTTTGTTTTGTTTTGTTTTGTTTTGTTTTGTTTTGTTTTGTTTTGTTTTGTCTAACTCCGGAGTTTAAATTACTTCCTGAAAATAAACGTGAAACTGTTTACATTCTCTAGAGATAAACAGAACGTCGGCAAAGGACAATTATTATTAACTAATATGTCTTCCCATAATAAACGTTATTTCTAGGGGTTGCCCAAGTGATAGTGCTATAGTTGCCACCAGTGATCACGACAATCTCATTGCCCTAGGAAGCCGGGGAAACGCTAAAATAAGCTGAGTGTGGCAGTGAGGGCAGGGATGGAAGTCCAGATAAATTTAATCTTCTATACGTAATTCAGAAAGCCCCACTTGTTAGGTATTTGTAGCCATGGGGCTAGAGAGATACACAAGAAATCTACCGGGCCATCCCAGCGCCAAACCTTTGCGATTCGAGAGTCTTAATCTTCGAAGTAAATAAATAACAGTCTGAGCCAGAGTGTAAAGTTTTGGTGGCCACGATGGAACTCTGACCTGAGAAAACCACTTATGTGGTCGCTGCTGCCTTCTTTTGCAGTCTCTAACAGGACTGTTATCTATGCTCATTTTTTAAAGTGTATGTTTTATATATTTCTCAGAAAAGATCCCTATTCAGATATTTATGTGTCAGATACTGTGCTAAGCACAAAGAAAAGTATTTAAGTAGCCTACAGTCTAGACATGCTTTCAAACAAGTATGTATAGTAGAATAAGACATTTCTTTTAAAAGATTATACACCAAATGTAGTGAGAATAAGGAAAAATGATTGTTCCTGATAGCCCCATGATCAACCAGTAATTGGATGAATTTCTAGAAGGACTCCCATGACTGAACGTATACTCAAAGTTAAGATTTATTACAGCACAGGGGAAAGTGCAGACACAGCAGGAGAGAGATATTCTGATTAAGTATTCTGACAACCTGGTTCATAGTGACCCACTGCTTCAGGTACACAGGATAGCATCATGATGCAGTAATTAAGTGAACATTCCAGTATTTTAGTTTACAGAGTGTGACCAAGGGTCATCACCATGGCTACAGACATCTGTGAAAACTTGCGTAAAATAGGTTTGCTGCATTACCTTTGCGCTGACAATGCACCAATTTGGAAAAGGTGGCAGATTTAGAGTTGAAACTAGAATGAGTAAGAGGTTGGCAAGGTAGACAAGAAGAGGTTTCTAGATAGGGAAATAAACAAATAAATAAATACAAGGAGGCATAACACTTAAGGGTCTCTAGAGAACTACAAAACATTCAGTGTGCTCAAGCATGGCAGTGAGGGAGATTGGAGGAGACGGATTTGGGGAGAAAAGTAAAATGGTTGTATTCTGATCATCTCCCATTCACCCTATAGCTGAAGGAGCGGTCCTCTGCCCTAAACAATGCCAGATGGCCGGACACACCTTGCTCAACACTGGGCAGATGAGATGGGTAGCTGTTTACCAGTCACATATACTCACAGCCTGGAGGGGGAGGGCAAAGCATGGCACGCAAGTTGGCTAAGGTCACACTCCCGAGTGACCAGCAAGGGCTGTGGGAGGTAAGCTTTGTAGCAGACAGAGAAGAGTGACCACTGGCTTCCACCAAAAGATGGAACTGGCTTATTTTCTTCCTTCCAGAACCAACAGAGAGGCGAAATCCATTAGGCTGAGGGGCTGGGATGCACCTGGTCTGATTGATAGAGGAATCAGCGAGGTAGAAGGCATATCCTATGAGAACAGGTGAATTCCTAGGACTGTTTAGGGCCCTGTAAGATTCAAAGATGTCAAAGGAGTCCTTGAAATTTTAGGTCTTCCAACATAATACTGAGCTGTGGAAGAAGAGACAAGGAAAGGGACAATCATAAGGAAGTTAATATGCAGTGCAAACAGCTTTTGATTTTATTCCTCTATGGGCAGTAAGAAACTATCACCAAGTTTGATCAGAGGAGTAATACAATCAAATTTTCTAGCCAGAAACAAAAAAAATCTCTGCAGGGGGCACCTGGGTGGCTCAGTGGGTTAAAGCCTCTGCCTTCTGCTCAGGTCATGATCTCAGGATCCTGGAATCGAGCCCCGCATCGGGCTCTCTGCTCAGCAGGGAGCCTGCTTCCCCCCTCTCTCTGCCTGCCTCTCTGCTTACCTGTGATCTCTGTCTGTCAAATAAATAAATAAAATCTTTAAAAAAAAAAAATCTCTGCAGTTTTCAAGTTTATGGTCTGGTCTTTGATTGTGTCTTTGTTTTTTATTTGTTTTTATCATAAACTATACAATAATGTCTTTTATAATTTATAGGGTTTTTAAAAATTATTTCTTCAACTTCAACTTCAACATATACAGGCACAAGTAAGCAGACTAACATATTGGAACTTGCAAACTTGATCACTTCAGAGAGAAGAGAAAATGATCCCTTTAGCCCACTAAACCAGGAAGCCAAGTCATCTGCCCACCTCCAAAAACATGCAGTTGAAATGATAGATGGATTGACTCCCCCCCGCCCCAACCATCATTCACGGCCATAACCAGGCCCATATCAGCAGCACATTTCTCGTCAATAATCATTAACTGTCCAAGGCTTTCATCATGATCTTCTGCTACAGATATCTGGGATATCTGTTTCTTAGGTATCCCCAGAAAGGACATTGACGCTTGAGGGGAAAGGTCATTGGCACCAAGACACCAGTCATCCTCAAGAATTCTTTTGGCTGGAGATCCTTGCCAGTGATCTTCCTGAAGATTGTGTCTCCCTCCACTGGGTTGGTGACTGAGCCTTGGCGATCTCCTCTTACCACTCAACCCAACACTAACCATGATGGTTTAGTCACCATCTTCCTGCTTCCAGGGAAAGAGGAAGAGAACAAGTCCATAATCAGATTTTCACAGGATAAAAGAATCTTTGAGTTAAATAATACCCATATTAAAAATGACAGCAAAATTCAAAAATACATGTATTTGAGAAATTCAGCATGTTTTTATTGCTCCTACTATTTGCCAGATGTAATTCTGTGGATAGGGAAAAAAAGACTGTATAAAAGACTCCACTTCTGTGCTCCAGAAACTGCTAATTTAACATCACAAATGAGCCAAGAGGGCCAAAGCTCCCAAGGCCTGGGATTTAAGAAAATTAAGGTAATTCGATATGCGTAGATAGTCGACATTATCCTCAAACAAGGTGCATGAGGTCACACAGATTCACTGATAAACTCAAAAAAAGTCATCCAAAATGTAACTTGAAATCTCTATCACTTTACTGGGCCAAGCGCTCTACAAAACATTATAAACTCTATAAATATCTTCTCCATACAAAGAATGATTTTATTGCAACACATTTTTGGGTTGAATCATCTATTAACTGTAAGAATTGTTAACAGTCGAAATTTTTGTAATCCTACTAGAGTGTTTACTCCTTAATATGTGGAAGCCTCAGATAACACTAATGACCTTGGACCATTCTACACCCCTCCTGAAACGCCAACCAAAGATTGCTATTCTTCTCCAAACAGATGGAGACACACGGGGGAAAGTGCTCTGATGTCACATTACAACAATCCAAGAAAGTCCCAGAGGAGTATGAGAAGTGGACCCTGCAGGTATCCATGCAGGACAGCGAGAAAGAAAATGGTGCAGATGCCAAGACTTGCCTTCTGGGTGCGGTTTGCACCGTAACTGTCAGGAGGACCTTCCAAGGACCTAGAGTCTCAAAATAGTGAATGCGGACAATATGCAGTATTTTGGCAGCTTTCAGGTGCCATGAACAGCTTTTCTGCTCAGGAGTGGTAATGTCCATGACTTTTCTCCCCCTGGAGGACCCAAGACCGAAATAATTGTCAGTTCCTACCCTTCCTGGGTCCCGACTCGGTGGCCCCAAATAACCCTGATCATCTCGTTTCCCTTTCTTCAATAGCGAGAAGCGCGGGTGGCCGGGGTGCTCTTTGACAACTCGGGACGGGTCGGAAAGTTCATTATAGTTTCTAAGTGCTGCCGCAAAAAAACCACACCTGGGGACCACGTGGCCTAACGGA